ACTGAAAAGCTTCTGAAATACTGGAATTTTGAAACCGATGGCTTGAATCATGCCGGCAGTGTGGAGGGGTATACTGAAAGGGAAGCAAAGGTGACTGATGAGATCTGCTTTTGAAAGCAAAGATTCCAGCTTGAAAAGAGCCTCAGATGCAAATCTCATTAACCTTAAATAGAGAAAACACTTCAACAGATGAAACGAGGCAGTTTATCTCAGAGAGGGGTGCCAGCCCCGATCGTCAGAGGTATCAAGATTGAATCCAAAATTCTTTTTGTCAGGCACTGCTAATAAAGTAAGGAGATCACACTGATTGCGAGGTAAGTATAGGATCTAGAGCTGACAAATACATTCAGACTGGCAGTGCACCGCAGTCTGTGATTTTTAGCGTGCTCGCATGCACTGGCAGTGAGAAGGACAATAGCACTTTGGATTCACACGCGACTGTCCGGAGTTGCGCCAGCAGAAACCCTTACTGAAATGACAGTTACTGCAAATCAAGAGTATAGTTTTGCACAGATTATCTCACCTGCCAAACTGGAGATGTGTTTGCGCAGCGCTGGTTTTAGGTAGCAGTTGTTACTATACCAGGAGGTATATAATAATTATACCACAAGTGTACTGGTGTGCCTTAATCATTAAGCATATCTAACACGGGCCTTGCTCTGTGATGTAATGGCTCCATTTATCACTGTAATCCTGGGTGCAATTCTCACCCTGTTATCTGCAATATTTACACTGAGGTACATCAGGGAAGGGTTGCCATCATCTGAAGAGAAGCGAAGACATGGGAGGACACGTCTGGTGCAGACAGCATTGGGAGAGCTCTTGTTCTCCCCTTGTGAAAAGAGCCCATCTCAGCTGCCTCTGCACAAGCACGTGTAGCACAGGAGATGGGAGGAATTACAAGGTCACGCACAGTTGCGGGGCTGTGACCCTGTTGGACATGGTCACGCGACAGGTTGGGGGGGTGAGGGGAAGGAGTTGTGCTCCAGGTGAAGGAGCGCCCGGGGCTTTGCCTTGGGATGGGTGCTGAGCCAGTTGGGGGCTAAGGGGTGAGGACCAAAGGATAGGCCAACAGGGGTGGCACTGGAAAGATTGTAGCTTCAAGTGAAGCAATAAGCAGCAGGAAGAAAGTGCTGACTTTTAGCAATTTGTAACATGGCCAAGTCTAAATGGAGTTTCATGGGACTGCAGAGAGACAGCAGTCTTACTACTGGCAGGAGTTTGGAACCTAACAAGGTGAAACACTGGGAGAAAAGAGGGCAAGAGGACATCAGAAGAAAACTGTCCAAAAAATCCACTGACAGATTCATAGCATGAAGTGTATGTTCACTACCTGGCAGCTGGTAAGCAGAAATCTGCACTTCTCCATATCAGATTCAGAGCCCGAGCAGGCAGCTGAAAGATATCCAGCAGACTGTGCACATGCTGTTAGCTTACTGTAGTCTTTATGATCTCAGAAAATTAATACAACTTCTTTCAACCTCTTTGCCAACTGTAAAATAAGGAGACCCAACACATTCCTGTGTCACAAGCAGGATGTGGGATAGTTGCTTAGACTGTGCTTGTAAAAGACAGAAATTAGCATAAACGTGTTATATTGCAAAACAAAGGCTTAGTTTCACATTCGCCCTACGCTGACTTTGTTCCTCTGACTGCAGGAGTTCCTAACTGTAACCTTGGCTTTGCGTGTTATGAGCAAGGAGTCACTCCCAAGTGATGGACTCGTCTAAGGCGGTTCTAATAATCTGCAACTAGTAATAATCCTTTACTTGCACAGATGGATGGAGTACAAATATGCGGACCATCGGGAGAATTCATGCTGTAAGAGCAATCAGCAAGTATGACCCCACTGAAAAGCTGAAAGAGCTGGAGGTGCCTGGTTTCTGGTGGTAGGACAAGAGTTAACGTGATTAACGCTTAAATTGCAGCAAGGAAGATTCAGATAGCTTGAATAGGAAGAACATGGCGCACCTTTTTCTCCCTACACTATTATTTGTAGTAGAGTGATTGTGTGTTGAAAATCAGGGTTTCTGTACTCTCTTTCAGTCTCTGACTGGGGAATGTGATCCAGTGGCTGCGACCCTGTAGTGCCTGGTACTGGCCTTTCAGGTTTTAGACAGGTTTGTTCTATTATAGACCGTGATTCTTGTCCCACCTTTCCATGAACTGACCTTCTTGGGGTCTTATCACATCAGATTCAACTGGGTGCACTAGTGCGTGGGACGTTATTTCATATCTGTTCCATATAAACTGCACCTGGGTTGAGCATATTCAGCAGCTGGATTTGGCATCTTGGGAGATGTCCCCAAAAAAATTCAGGATAGGGCAGGGCAGGCTTTTGGCATCTGGCACTGGTGGATGAGGAACACGGAGCCCAGCATGTCTCTCCAGCTCTTTATGCTCCTGAGCGCTATTAGCTCTTTTGCCTTGAATATTTTCTTGAGGACCGAGCTGCCCTGGTTTGTACTGGGCCAAATCTTTTCTCTGGCCAAAGCCTTGGTCCTGGCAGGGCAGAGCATTGTTCTCCTCGAAGGTGGCATCGGTATCTCACCGCTTGGCAGGGTTGCTGTCACCGTGTGAGGGTTTGTGCTGGCTTGGATTCTGCTATTCTGATTCAGCAAAACAAATACACTGAAACCCTCAGCTGCGCAATGTTTTGATGAACTGTATATGGCCTTCCTTTTTCTGGGCTATCCTTTCATATTTTACATTTCTTTATATGTATTTAAAAAGTAGAGTGGTTTGATTGCTTCAGTTACTTGTAAGTGACAAAGCTCTGGCTCCTCGACCGCTCTGGTACTAACCATTACAAGCCAAAAATCATCATTATAATGTTTCTTACAGATCGTTTGAGTTAAATATGATTTGACTAGCACGTATGGTGTTACTTGGTTAAATATTCAGATGATTCATGTTTCCTTTCTGGCATCAATTGTGAAAATGCTGTAAGGTTTTTTTTATTTTAAAAAATGTGGTTTTAAATACAATGGCTGCTTTTTAAAAGCAACCACTAGTGAATATTGAGAATTATTTCAGTTAAAAACAATGCTAAAGTATTATTTATTTAAAAAAACAGGTAGGGAAAATGACCTGAATAAGTATAAACCAGGTGGCCTGTATTTGATCTCTGACAGAATAGTCCTTTTTTTCTTTTATTCTTTTTTCTTTTTTTTTTTGGTTGTTGTTGTTGGGGTGGTTTTTTTTGGTTGGAGAGTCAGTTGTAAGAACGGTATTATACTACAGCTAATATCAGCCCATCCGCTTGTATGGAAATGGGTCTTGGCAAGCAAACTTCGTATTTTGCAATGAGGTTGGAGGTCCAGTTGGTAAAGGTCACTGATGTATTTTTAAACTACTATAATACGTTCGATTTTTTTCAGTCAGTACATCTTAATTAATGAAATTACTACTAAGAAGAAACAGAGGCCATATAAAATAGATTATATTTGACAGTAATCTCATCCTCTTTTGGAGAGCTCTCACACAGGGGCCCAGCAGGAGGGTACTAATAGATCAATATTATTCCATAATCTTCCCATCACAGTATTTATTAGCAACAAGTTTAAAGTTTCTTTGATAAAATATCCCTGAAGGATGCCGGAGACAGAAGGTATCTTGTTTATCCAGAGGAATCTAGGTGGCTTGTTAAACTGGTGTGGGCAAATGTGTGTTTTAAGGTGACCAAATCTGTGGTTTGTACATCTGAGAGGAAAAAAAACCCAACCAAAACCTGTCCAAGTTACTGCATGGGGGATTCTGTCCTTAAAAGCTGTAGTTTGAAGAAAAGAAAAAGTCATGGAAAGTCTGGTGAGTAACAAGCTAAATGAGACCGTTGTTTGATGCTGTGGTAAAAGGGATAATTCGGTGGTAATGAAAAATGCCAGTCAGCATGGTTTCCTGGAAAATATGTCTCTCCAGATAAACATAATCTTGTTTCGTGTCTGAGTTTACTTGAGTGGTGTCTATAAATATGTACCAGCAGAGAAGATTTCTTATACCAGAGAGTTTTTTATTTTGTAGGCAAACATTTAATGAGATTTGCTGCCTAGAAGAAAAAACAAGCCTGATCAAACTAGAGGGAAAAATGAAGTTACTATCACCACTTGAAGACTTTATGTGAGATATCTTAGTGAGATGTGCTAATTTAATCAGATACCTTTTGTGTAACGTCAGAAGAAACGGGTAAAAACGATGTGGTCTGTCCCGTGCAGGAGGGTCATGGCGGCTTTGACTTGCAGTGACTCCTTCCTACTTCAAAAATCATCCAATTTTTGCAGTTCCGCAGTGAAGTGCATGTTGCGCGGGGCGGTGCGATCCCTCCGTCCTATAAATAGCCGAGGCTTCGTGCAGTGTGGGGTGGCTTTATTTTCTGTGGACCTGGCATGATGGAGAAAGGAGACTTGACTCCGTGGTGCCAGCTCTCTCAAGTCACCAACTTTGAGCTTCTGTGCAGAATCCGGCCTTGCTGGGGGGGCTCCTGAGCCAGACGGTTCAGCCCCAGCAAGCTGTGGGGGAGACGTGCGTTTGCAAACCTGGAGTTCAGTGTCCCGCTGGGATAGATGAGCATTTACCTTTTAAGTTCCCAACAATTATTCAGAATAAGCTCTGAGTTTGCATAGTGATCCCATTTGCAGAATCTGTTTATTTGTAGAAGTGTGTTTTATTTTCCTATGTAAAACTTAGTGTTGCAGCTGAGTGTGGTAAATGATCCATTTTGTAACTCTCATGGTATGTAGAGCTCTGTGTATGTACGTTCTGACTAGAAAGTGCGATGAATAGGTGTTTTTAAACATGACTGGAAAGTGTCTTCTAGATACACTAGGAAACAATCCTAAAATGTAATAAATATCAATCTTAGGGTGCAAGCAGTCATGTCACTTCAGGCTACATTGATTTTCCCCTCTCACCATTGATCTGTTGCAGGTCCTTTTTCTTGGGAGACAAAAAAAAAAGATGCTTTTATTTATTCCCTCACCTATTTTGTCCTTTTCTTTCCCTAGTTACCCAGTGGGAGACTCTTCCACGCTGCAGCTGTTATCTCAGATGCTATGTACATCTTCGGTGGCACAGTGGACAATAACATTAGGAGTGGAGAAATGTACAGGTTCCAGGTATGTCACTGATAAACGTCCACACCAATTCTGCGTGAATCATTCCAGCTCTGTCTCCAGATGTGGTGGAGTTTCTGATTTAGCTCGCCATGAGCTTGATGGCTTTTGTTTTGCACCCTTCCCGCAGGCAGCCTTTGCATTTCAGATTCAGCTGCCAAAAATTAATGTATATCTTTAATATCTTTAGAGATATGTTATCTGAACAGTGATTTTGGTAAGGGCAAGCTCTCCAGTGCCTTCTAAAGTCCTAACAGAGCTCATGACAACTTATTTTGGCAAAGTATTGCAACGTGTACCAGAGGGGATTTGCCAGGATGTTTAGCTGAAAATTGACCGTTCCTCTTCGTGTACTGTCAGGTTAAGCGTTCCTGGGTCAGAGCTTTTTGTATTGAAGTTTTATCTTCATGCAGCACTCCCACTCCCCCCAGTAACTATGGGAATTTGAAGTTCAAGATACTCACACCAGGTCAATTCCCCCATATACTAAAGTTTATTTTCGTTGCGTGAGACCCTCAGACAAGTCCTGAGAGCAGGTGAGACTCTGAGCCACCAAATCCTGAAACCTCCAAGTTGCGATGAGACACAATTCTTCCATGTTACCCCCTGTTATCTTTCATTACCCTCACCATAGAGGAAGCCCTTGCATGTGTTTGGTTGGTTTGCTTGTTATTTTCTACTTTATATACTACATTGAGGTCAAGTTAATAAGAAAATCCAGTGATAGTATATGTAACTACAGGGCTTTTGGATATAGCCATTTGAAATGAATTCTGTCTTCTGTGGGGTTTTATTTTTTTTTTAGTTTTCTTGTTACCCTAAATGCACTCTTCATGAAGATTATGGAAGGCTGTGGGAAAACAGGCAGTTCAGTGACTTGGAGTTTGTTTTGGGAGAGGTGAGTAGAATTTATTGAAAAGGTGCCAAGGGGGGTGTTACTGCGCGTGTAGCATGTTTGCTGGGAAAAAGCAAATTGTACAATGATTGTGCCAGAAACCTTGGGAATTAAGTTTTAAGAGCAGCGTCACTGGTGAAAATGATGTCTGTCTGGTTTAGTAAGTTCCACTAATCCAGATAAACTTACGAAGCTGCGAAGGAGAAGAAACTTTTAATTTGAGAAGATCTGTGGATCGCTGAGACGTAACCCACATTTTTCAGAGCACATTACATATAGTTGCAATACCAAAATGATACTACTGACCCTTGTACCTCGAGGTCCCAACTGTCTCCTGGAAAGAGCAGGTCAGTGGTTTGCAGATCCATGTATCATTTCAGGAGCCATTTTTAATTACTGAAATGAAATAGAATGAGAAAAAGCAGCACAGGGGAATGATTCTCTAGTAATGAAACAATTATAAAATTTGTAAAAGAAGATGTTTTCTGAAGGAAAACATGAGAAATTTGAACTTACCTGCATTCTTTTTGCAAAATAAAAGTTATAAAACCACTTTGCAGAGATCAGATAACAGATCCTCAACAACAGATGAAATAGATTATGAAGAACAATAGCAAAAAACCATATTGTTGTTTTGAAAAGAGAAAATTAAACCAAAAATCAGATGCAACAATAAGAAGCAGTATCTGTGACACTGAACCTATGCAACAGCTTCCACTCAGTGAACGTAACAAAGACTCTTCCCAAATGGTGTTTGCCATTAGCCTTTAGGGAAAATAGGTGTTGAATTTCATCTGGAAGTGCAGAGCAGATGCAAGGTTGCCTTTGATTCTAACTTAAACTAAATGTGTAGTAACCAGGAGTGTAGCCCGGGTTTCTATGACTTCTGCCATCTGCCACCACCATGTGGTTTGGGAATAAAAGTTTAATACGTGTTATTCCTTTGCCTTTGACAGAAGGAAGAACGAGTCCGAGGGCATACCGCAATTGTTACGGCTCGCTGCAAGTGGCTGAAAAAGAAAATCATACAGGCAAGAGAGAGGTTGAAACAGGTGAGTATTTTAGAAAAGTAATCTTGTAGCAAGGTTATTCTGCCCAATTTTGGAAATCAGGTTGTCAGGAAAATAATAATATCTGCTGAGAGTGATGTAGGACCGTAGCAGCATCTGATGCATCTTAAGGAGCAAGTAAAATAAAGAGGATAGTTACTATTAACATAGGCTACTGGATGCGTATCAGGCCAGGCGGGCAGCGTAGCATGGAGGAGCCAAAGTTAATCCAGTTATCTGGATTTGGCGGTATGGTTCTTGGGAGCTCTCAAAGCTGTCTAAGTTCTAATCTTGCGGAATAGCCCTGGGGAGGTGTGCATATCCCTCCCTCTGGGGAGGGTAGAAGCTGCATATCATCGGGGGTGGCCCGCAAGGTTAGACAGATTAGACGGAAGGCTGTGTTAAGGTTTTGAGGCTGACTCTGTTCCCTTTACCTTAGTATTTCCTGGCTTTTTCCAGAGTTGAAGATCTGGTGCCTCTGGTTCATTGTCTGTTAATTTTAACCACTTACAGCTTTTCAGCAGCAAGCATTTTACTGCTCTGGAGGAAGCGGTAGCGCACAACCTGCAATAAGACATATGGATGCCTCATTACCCCTTCGTTAATTGCTTTGCCACCCCACAGCCCTCCATCTTCACTGGGAAAGGCTGTCAAAGTGAAACTCGAAAGTAACAGAGTGGCTTAAAATACTTCTGTGCAGCACTTTGAGCTCTGACTTTGCAAGGCAGGGGTCTGTGGAACCTGCTCCTGCATCTTCCTTCTCCAAGGAGAGATGCGGCTCCTGCCGAGGGCAGGAATGGGAGCTCAGTGCAATTCATTCCTCCCTTTTTCTGAGGTCTGCTTTTGACCTTTATCCAGGAGCTCACGTTTGTTCTGATCCGTGTTTGTCACAGAATATGGAACAGTAAGTCTAAGACGTATGAATTCCTTGTTATCTTGAAGATAATCTTGAAGATAAAGAGATCCTGGGTCTTGAAGAGTGTGCAGTCATGAGAAGGCTCTTTCCTCTGGTTTGACAGTAATGTGTGTGAGCCAACACAGCCTTGTTGCCATGTTTGAGTGTTTTTTCTGTCTTGTTAGAAATCAAAGCAAGATGTTGAAGACGAGGGACATTCGACATGTCAGAAGGATGGGATTGGTGGGAATGTCAAGTTGTGCCGCCTGCAGCCGCTGCTGGAAGTGCCCATCCGAGAGGCGGAGGCGCAACCCTTCGAGGTGCTCATGCAGTTTCTGTATACGGATAAAATAAAATACCCTCGCAAAGGTAGGACAGCAGGATAAAAAACCCACAAAACTGACAAATGGAGAGCAAACATGAATTTTGATACAAAGCAGGATCGAGCATTTGCAGATGATCAATCCTGCTCTAAGCACTTAAATACTTACCTGAGATTAAAAAAAAAAGAGCAGATTTCTATCAAAGCATACTAACAGTGCTTTATTTTTTCCTAATTATTTTCAAACGTCAAGGAAAAGCAGGTTTTTGCTAATTCCAAAAGGTGAAAAAAGCCCAAACAGACAAAAATGTCATGGTATTTCGAACATTACAGCAGTCTGTCTGGAAAGGACCATGTATCCTGGGGTGACTTATTTCCTTTTCCCAGTATTGTTTTTATCCGTTGCAAACAGCCCACAGAAAGGCAGAGCAAGCCAGTATTTATCATCTCTTCAGCAATCCAAAGGAATGCCTCAAGAAAGGAAAAATCCTTTTGATGCGTTCATTGAAGATCCCCGAGTTAAAAACACTCACAGGCTGGGAGGTAATAGCCAGAGATCTCTCAGCTCCCACACAGCAAATCTAACTCGTGGCCGTGTTTGAGTGCTGAGGTCTGTTGGGCTATGGAGGCCAGGCTGGGTACGTGGGGAGCTCCAGCTCGAGGGGCTGGGGAAGCTGCAGCCACGTGGCACAGTCAGGTAAAGTGACGTACGTCTGTCCTAATGCTGAAAGCTTTACTTCAGTTTCAGTCCAGGATCTTCCCTTTCTGTAAAATTAATCCTCAGGAGAATAATGATTTTTATGCAGTTGTCCCAAGGCTTTCCCTGCCAGGTGGCCTGTCTGAGAGCAAGCCTAATTAATGGGGATGAGGGAACCTTCTCATTGGCGTCTGCTGACATCACTAGATCCCACTCTCAGCTGGTTCACTAATCCTCAGCATGCTCACTTCAGGACAGGATCAGACCAAGGGAAGGATATCATTACCCTCACCACAGAGAATGCCACAGCGATGAGTGGCGTTCCTCAGGGGTCGG